AAAAAAAAAAAAAAAAAAAAAAAAAAAAAAAAAACAACTTGCTGAGCTGAAACCGAACCGAACGAGAGCTGAAAGCGATAGAACCAACCGACCCTGGAGTATTTGAGGAGACGGGAAGTGGTAAGAAGTCGGAGTGAACAGCAAATTTTATATTTATAAGCAGAAAAGGATAGTAAAATAAAATATGATTAAGAAAAGTGTAGGTATAATGACGATAACAACAGTATAATGATAATAATAGGAACAATAATAATAATAATAGGGTATTAGTTATTGGTATTACTGTTATTATAATATCATTGATAATAATAATAATAATAATAATAATAATAATAATAATAATAAAACAATTAACAGCATTAAAAAAAGTCGTCATCATTCCCGTCATGCGTTGTCTTTCCAGCTGTTCAGTTACAGCTTTATATGCAGCAAGCAACGACACCACCAAGACAACACCAACGGTAACCGGAAAACAGGAACAGCAATTATTACAACAAATTAACAGTCAAAAAAAAGTTCAGGAAAAAAAGACGCAAAGTAACAAAAAAAAATTTGCCAATTTATGGTTCGAATATAATGGATATATAATATATGGGGGAGATGCATACGTACACGCAGACACACATACATACATACACTTACAAATACAAGTACACACAAAGGGTGGTATTTAGTGAAATGTTAGTTTTGAAAAGGTGGCGAAGAACGATGATGATGGTGAAGATGAAGATGACGATGGTGATGGTGATGATGGTGCCGATGCAGATGCCTGATGATGATGATGTTGATGATGATGATGTTGATGATGATGATGATGATGATGATGATGATGATGATGATGATGATGATGATGATGATGATGATGATGATGATAATGGTGCGTGCGCACTTAAAGCGCGTGGCGGCCGTGCGCGCTGCGTCAACCACAAGAGTCACACTCTTTGCGGTTTTGGACACCAGTTGCAGGAGTTGAGCGCAGAATCCTGCTTCTCCATTTTCTCACTTTGTCACTTTTTCTTCCTTTTTCTTCATCGTCGTCATTATCGTCTTCTGGTTGACCCTAGCACCAATAACGTCATCGTCATCGTCATCGTCATTATTATTATTATTGTTATTATTATTATTATCTTTGTCGTTATTATCATTATTTTCATTGTTATCATTATTATTATTGTTATTATTATTATTATTATTTTTGTTACTATTATTATTATTGTCGTCACCGTCATCGTCATCGTCATTGTCATTGTCGTCATCTTCACCACATATACAAACACACGCTACTTACAGGAGGTGGTGTCCTGTGGTTGTTGTTGTTGCTAGCACATTTCGGAAATGTTTCCACCACTATGTCATTGACCAACAACAACATGGACCTACAGTTGGAGAAGAAGAGTTCAAGACGTGTTCTCGAGGTGGGCACTTTGTTGTTGATTAGATTGTAGTCGTTTAATTATTTCTTTATTTATTTATTTATTTATCTTCTTACTAATTTGAGTTATAGTGCATCGATTACTTGTTAAATTGGCGCTATTGCAAACATGTTTCTTAATTGTCATTCTACCTTCCTCCTTTTGTGCATGAAGTTTCTCGACCCGCTTGATTCAGCTGTGTTACTTTCAGTCTTGCCTCCTTCTTGCTAGCTTTCTAATGACGTCTCGCTACAGTTCCATTTTAATTCTTGTGGCGTTTGATAAAAATGACTTGCAAGTGGTGGGCGACGTAATGAATAAATACTCCATTTTGAAGCCGCAATTGGAAAAATCTGGAATGCTCGACCTGCTTCCCATGCAGCCCTCCTGTTCAGCATTTTCAGATTTCTTGTTTATTTTCTAATATGCCGAAATATACTTGTTTGTTTTAACTGTGTACACGACTTACTAATCCGCTGAATGCGATTATCGAAAAAGTTGTTCGAAAAGGTTTTCCGTAACAAGTACTCATATATATATATATATA